GATTATCATTTATTACAGCTGCTTCTCTAGGTTTCAACTTAAAAGTAAATGTTGTTTAACTGTGTATTTCACTAAATGCACTGTTTGCTTATTGAGAAGATAATCATGAAAAAGTAATATTATGCATACAAGTAGATCTGTCCCTTCAACTATGTTCTAAAAGGTTTTGATGTTTGATGCTTGAAGTGGCTGAATAGTTCCATCATCATGGAATCGAAAGGTTTTGTGAACCCTACTTGCCATACCTCATAAGCAAGCACTGGAAAAGACAACATGTTCTCCCCTGGAATCGAACCTAGGTGGGCACATCCAAAGCAAGGTATTTACGGAAGGAAGTGGCCACTAGGCCAATACCTAATGGTTATGATTTTACAAACTAGAAACAATATTATTGTGTGAAGTATTTTAATTAAATGAAATAGTATATAATTGAATTAAAATATCTCTATCATTAAAGTCATCGGGTGGGGTGGAGAGATAAAGCCAGCTGCTTTTGTCACCATCATCATCACTTGCACCACCTTGGGTCTGTCTTACTTTAAATTGATAGACAAGTTGGAGGAAGTTTCCTCTACAATGTGGTGGGGATGCTGCAAATGCGTCACTGTTTAAATTGATAGACACGTTGGAGGAAATTTCCTCAAAAATGTGGTGGGGCTTCTACAAACGCGTCGTCTCACATCTCATCCATCTATAATTATTACACAACTAAGGCGAAGCCGTTCTAAAAAAAATTATTACACAACATCCATCTCTCTTCTTCAACCTTTTCGTAGTATCAAAATTAAACAAACCATTTGATGGCATCTTCATCGTCGTCTTTTCACTCCACTCCTCCCACCTCTTGGAAATACGACGTTTTTCTCAGTTTTAGAGGCACAGACACTCGCTACACCTTTGTGGACCATCTTTACACAGCTCTTGTAGATAATGGAATCGGCACTTTCAAGGATGATGAAGAACTTCCTCGGGGCGAAACCATCCGTCCATCGCTTTTGAAGGCTATTGAAGACTCACAGATTGCTGTCGTTGTATTCTCTGTAAACTATGCCCATTCTTCTTGGTGCTTGCAAGAACTTGAACATATCATGAAATGCAAGGTTGAGAGAGACCAAATTGTTATCCCCATATTTTATCACGTTGATCCCTCGGAAATCCGAAATCAAAAARGGAAATATGGAGAAGCATTTGCTAAACACGAGTCTGAGAGGAGAAGTGTTGAATCCTGGAGAAAGGCACTTGCGAATGCAGGGAACCTATCTGGACATGTCCCCAATGGGTAATCTTATTTTTTTGATTTTTAAAATATAATTGATGCTTCACAATTATACTTGTACCATATAAGCTTTCAAAGGATAAACGCAAATCCTTTCATGATAAGTCCCATGTTTTTAGAGAACAATTACAACCCAATATTCCATACAATTATAAAAATCCACTAAAAAATCTATGTTTAAGTGGTAGTATAGATTTAAGATGAGGAAGGATAATGCATGATAAAGATTAGGTTGTCATATAAATGTTACAAATGTTCTATTGGATTAATTATGAAACGGAAATTGAATAAAATAGCCATTTGTCCTGTAAAAGTTTACCCGGATAAGAGAGTTCTTACCCTTACTTACCAGGTAAGATTATTCATCCTTATCATCGCTTTTATAGGGTAAGATTCTCAATATTTGTCATTTTTATCCGATAAGGAAATTTGACTACTAAGCACTTACCGAATAAGCGTTTAGTAAACAGCCCCTTAGACTCATTTTCCTTGTTTAATGGTTTATTCTCAATTAGAGCATCTGTTAATTATCTTTGTATATCCAATGTCCAGGCCCGAGACAATATTCATCAAAAATATTGTTAAAGAAATTTCAAAAAGATTGTGTACGGCAATTCCAAGTGACAATCAAGACCTGATTGGAATGGAGGATCGCTTGCAAGATTTTAAATCAAAGTTAGCAATCGATTCACAAGGTGTGCTGATGGTTGGAATATGGGGGCTTGGTGGTGGTGGTAAGACTACTCTTGCACGTGCTGTTTATGATCAAATCTCCAACAAGTTCGATGGTTTCTGCTTTATGAGTAACGTTCGGGAAGAATCACGCAGGCATGGTTTGAAAGGATTGCAAGAAGAAATTCTCTCATGTGTTTTGAAACAAAAAAGAGAGGAAGTAGTTGGAGATGTAAGAAGATTGATAGAGAGTAAGCTTCGTCGTAAAAAGATCTTGCTGGTTCTTGATGATGTCGATGATGCTAACCAGCTAGAGGCACTAGCTGGATCACGTGATTGGTTTAATGAAGGAAGCAGAATTATAATCACAACTAGAGATCGACATTTACTGAATACTCATGGAGTAAATGTGATATATGACATTAGCTTGTTAAGTCACGACGAGGCTATGAAGCTCTTTTGCAAGCATGCACTTCGGCATGGTAACCATATAGAAGATTATGATAATCTTTCGAATGAGGTTGTTTCTTATGCTCATGGGCTCCCGTTAGCACTTAAGGTTTTGGGTTCACTTCTTTGTGACAAAGACAAGAGTGAGTGGGTGAGCGCCTTGGCCAGACTAAAAGATATCCCTGAAGATGACATAATGGAAAAGCTAAAAATTAGCTATGATGGACTTAAAGCCAAGGAGAAAGAGTTGTTCCTAGATATTGCATGTTTTTTTAGGGGATACGAGTACCGTCATGAGCAATGGGTGATACTCGAAGCTTGTGGTTTTCACCCTAAAATAGGGGTAAGGGTGCTGATACAAAAGGCTCTTATAACTGTGACTGAAGAAGGATGGTTTGATATGCATGATCTGATACAAGAAATGGGACACTACATCGTTCGAGGAAAAAACCCCCGAAATCCAGAAAAACACAGCAGGGTTTGGAAGTGGGAGGATGTTTTAACWATATGTGCTACGCCGACTGTAATGTTTAAGCTAGCCTCGTATATAAGTTATATATGCCATGAATGATATATGTATATCCATAAAGATATACCCTAAATCAACCCTAACAAAATTTTATTTCTCTATCACAGAAAAATACCAGGATTGAAGCAATAAGAACTGAGTTTGTGTGGAAGCAAAGGGAGGAAGAGAAGGCGGCTTACCGTAATTTTCCTTGTGCTGTTGCAAACATGAAGGAACTTCGGTGGATTTCTTGCTCTGAATATCAAGCAACTTCATTGCCAGGAAATTTTCGATCAACGAACCTATTTTATCTAGGGTTGGAATTTAGCTCGCTAAAGCAACTTTGGAAGGGTTATAAGGTAATTCTTATTGTTTATCTAATTAAGCAAAGTGGATGATAAATTATAAATATAACTAATTTACATAATATAGTCTATTTACTTGTATGAAAGGTTTAGAAAGTTGATGTGGTTGAATATCGGTGTCCTCAGGCAACTTTATATAAGCTTTTAATTACTAAGCAATGATATTTGTGTTCTATTTTAAATCTAATTTAGTTTTAAGTTTCCTAAAAGAACTAAATGTTATTCATAATTATAAATGCTCTTAAGAATTATAAAGTAGTGACTAAAGCATTCCGTTGTAATAAAAAGTGATTTTATATCAAACCGATTGTGTATTTTTAATTGGTGGTTTTTTCCGAACATTTTGCAAAAATTGGAAGAGGATGTTGCCTCGAGTTTGATACATGCCCCATTTTAATTTGTTTTTGGAATAATATAATTAATTTGTATTAGTTACTTTCTATCTTTGTGTATCCTAGCTTCTCAACACTCTATGCTACTAAAAAAGTATTTTGCCATCGTTGACTTGTGTGTAATTGTATACAACAGCATCTGCCAAATTTGAAAGTGCTCAACCTCAGTTGTTCCGAACACCTTATCAGGACACCAGATTTTGACGGACTTCCATGTCTTGAAAGAATAAAACTCAACCATTGTGTCAATTTAACAGATGTTCATCCATCAATTGGATATCATGAAAGGCTTATTTTTGTGGATATGGGATCTTGTACCCGCCTTAAAAAGTTTCCACCCATCATAGGGATGAAAAAGTTGGAGACTCTTATTCTCTCTTGGTGCCTTCAACTTTGCATGTTTCCGGAGATCCAAACGAACATGGATAACATGGTAGAGCTTTCTTTGGACAGAACTGGAATAAAAGKTGTACCCTCGTCATTCGGAAAGTATTGTACCAACCTTCTTTCTCTTGATTTGGGATATTGCATAATTCTAGAGAGTATTGAAGGCAACTTCCATCACTTAAAACATTTGAAAAAGTTTTCTATCGCTGGATGTAAAAAGCTTAAGATACCACCAGAGGGCCTCTTTGATGTAACTTGTTGTTTAGAGGTGCTTGCTTTAAGTCTTACATCCTTCAAGAATCTTCACCCAGGCATCGTAAGCATGAAGTTTCTTGGTTTTCCACCTTCCTTAAGAAGGTTGCGTCTTGTCTCGTGCGATTGGATAAATGGAGACATCTCATCTGTTTTTTGCGAGTTATCCAACCTACAAGTATTAAATCTACAAGAAAATAATTTTTCACGATTGCGTCGCAACCTCTTGCAACTTTGTAGTCTCAAGGTCCTCAACCTGTCATATTGCTGTGACCTTATAGAATTACCAGATCTCCCATCAAGCATAGCTGTTCTCCAAGCATATGGGTGCGAAAAGCTTAAACTTGTAGATCTTCCAACAGATCTTAAATGGTTGTGGAGAATCDCACTTCCAATGAATTGTATATTGGGTGATGTGGAGAGAAAAGTACAATCCATGCTTCAGGTATGACTCTATGTCTTGTTGTTGAATTTGAGTATTAATTAATTTGTATATGTAGACTAAAACTAAATAATATTCATCATGATAGGGAAATTCCATTTATGATAACTCCATCAGTCTCTCTTTCCATGGTGATAACATTCGATTAGAAGACTTTCCAAGGAGAAGATTGATGTTAGAGCTTCCAAGGAACTGGTACAACGAATTCAGTGGATTCTTAATATGCTTTAAACTTAAAGAGATGTTTGGCAACTTATATAATGTAATTACTATCGAGGACGTAATGGGTAGGGAAAATGAAGATGTTTTGGAGGTGTCTGATGATGAAGCTTTCAAGTGGATACGGGGTAAGGGTGACGTATACAGGTGCTATATATATATATCCTGCAGTTCATTGAGGCATACCTCATGGTGGAAGTCAACACACACTACCATTTCATTTTCCATACAAAGAGGTACTTGCGTAAAAGTCGAACTTGTTCCTAGAAGTAAAGGTGATCCAATAGAAAGAGTCAAACATACAACAAATTCCTTTGAGTTTTGGGACGAAGAACCTATTAAGATCACACATGATTCAAAATCTTGCATCGAGATTAACTGGCGGCATCGTAATGTGGATTACCTAACCGAGGACAAGTGCTAGTTTTATTAATATTGTTTGTTCCATTTTGATAAAAAAAAAATATTCCTCTTTTTGATTTATTAATATTGAAAATATCTAACCTTGCTGGAAGGCATCTTTGCATATTTTTTCCCTTTCTCCTTAATTTCTCTGAAACTTACTTGATTTCTTAACAAATAATGCATCGTTTTAACTTTCAATTAGAAAATGAAACCATGTTTCTGTTTTTAAATTAAAACAACAAATAACACTTCAAAATATTCATCAACAAGAATAATATTTATGTCAATTTATGTTAGAAATATTTTAGGTTTATTTTTACCAAACAAGAATCACCTCTTAGCGATTCAGAGAACCGAACTATAAAGTGTCATATCTAAATGCGTTACAATAGGTTTATAGGATGCTTTTAAGGCAAAATGTCTTATTAACTATTTTACAAGAGACTTTTGAGAAGTGTACAATAAACCATCTTTTTTAGGACACTTATGTTTATAAGAAAAAGCATCGTATAAAATAGTTAATAGAGGTGTGAAGAAAATCGACCGATCCAATTAGAACAGACCAACAATAATTCGATAGTAATTAGATCACATCGGATCGAAAAATTCAACATCTAATTTGGATTGATAGTTTCTTGGATCAATTAGAACGGACTGAACCGATCCGATTGACCATCCAATCAGAACCAAACCTATTAGTGATACTTTAATGTATGAAATATTTTAATCATATAGTCAATATTTTGATGTTCAAATTTTAGAAGCTGTTAGAGTTGAAGGTAAATTTTTTTAAGATTTTGAAAATTTTGATCCTTCGTTTTAATGAAAAAATTAAAAAATCTATTAGTGATACTTTTAGGGTTGTTTAGCAGTTGTTAAATGATTTGTGCAAGATGATTAAGTGGTTCGAATGATTAAGAGGTTCTTATGATATAATGCAAAATGAAATATAATTGTTCGGTAATTGTTCAACATGAAATTATGGCACTGAATGGTTCAGGAGGTCCAAGATGCAAAACCATTCAGAGAGTTTTGAGACCATCAAGAGACGACAGCCATCTATTTTTACCAAACAAGATTCACTTCTTAGGGATTCAGAGAACCGAACTATAAAGAGTCTTATTTGAATGCGTTACAAAAGGTTTATATGAGGCTTTAAGTTGTCTTATTAGCTAATAGAACATAAATGTACTGTAAACTACCTTTTTATAGGACATTTATGTTTATAGAAAAAGGTGTCGTATAAAATAGTAAAATATGACACTTTATTTTAAAAGTGTTCTAAATTTTTTGTTAAAACGTCTAAAAATGTCTCATAAACCTATTGTAATAATATTAGATGGACGTTTTTTGGTTTGGTTCTATAAACTTAACTCCTATAAAGTATTTTTTAGGACGCTTTTATATTTTAGGCGTTCTATAAAAATCAATTTTGTTGTAGTGTGCACGAACACTTTTAATTCAAGCTAATTAGTGATCCTTTCTGTAGTTTCATAGAAAATTGGATGAGTCAAACCTAAGCACATTCTGAGGACACTTATCGAGGGATATGCCGGTTGTGGGTTGTATGAGAACCCAAAACATGTAAACTTGCATTTACAATATCTTCTATAATGAAGACTTTCCACTAGCTTATTCAATATGATCATAGAAAGATGTTCGAACCGTTTCTTTAATTATGGAAAATCCCGATTTCGTGACTACCTAATTTAGGGACTTGGACACTGTCCCAATTTGCATTGTTGCTTTTAGATGCATTTGGTACGCTGGACATGAAAAATTGGGATATGATAAGACTAAGAGAGACAAAATGCATTTTTTGTCCCACAAAAATTGGTTAATAACTAAACTAATCATGTCAAATCAAAATATTAAATGACAATTTTTAATTATCACATGTTTAAGAAATATGTAACTATTATATATATTTTTTAATTTAAACCAATGATAATTGTAGCCTGGGGAGTATCGGATTTCCTCATCTCATAATAGTAGAATTAGGAAGTCTGACACTTACTTTGGGATAAACTAAACAAGAAATGTTGACACTCTTTTTGGGGTCGGAAGGAGTAAATATTTAAATTGTTAATAATTTCCACAATCTAGATTTCTACTCCATTTGCAGGTACTTTCAGAAATGAAAATTCCTAATAACGATATGAATGAAATCAAAAGCATGCAAAATTGTCCACACATGCTCACTTACGGTTTTAAAATGCGTTTTGTAGGAGATTTATTTAGCCCTTATTAGGCAATCTTAGTTTCTCTCTCTAACCAATGTGGGATCCTACAATCATGATGCAATCGGTCCTAGGTTTTGTTGTTTTCATTGAGTTTTGTGTCTTCCTTTGGATTTGCAAAATTTTATACTAACGAGCTATTTACTAAATGTTTTTGTCGTAAATTGTTGCAGGCGATACCATTTTGATATACTACTGTCTTACCAGTAATAGTAAACACTCTTATTTACCTTACCGGGAACGATTCTAATTCATTAAAATGACATTCTATGCAACAAAAAATTATCTGTTTAGCACTAACCGGGTAAAGCGTCACCCTCACTTACAGTGTAAAATTCTCTGCTCTTGTCATCGCTCTCTTTCCAGGTAAGATTCTCAATTCTTGTTATGTTCATCCGGTAAGGTAAAATGACAAAGTAAGCACTTAACCGTGTAAGTATTTAGTAAACGACCTCCAAGTTAGAGCGTTGACTCTTACTGGTAACCATATTAGCACACGAAATTTGGTGTAAGTAACGGGGTGATCCCATTGAAGATGGTCTTAACCAACGAAATTTGGCATGACATTAGACCCGGATAGGACAAGATTTCTAAATTACGAAACTACCCATGTCAAATTAAAACTCTAAAACCTTCCACAATTATTTCACCCGTTTACATACCTCACTCTTGCCCGTCCAGTCCCTCCCCACTGTATACCAAACGCACCCTAAATTCTCCTGTTGCTTTAGTGTCAGGTACATCAATTTTCTTTTGTATTCTTTATCTTGTATTGTTTTCTCCCTGTGGTGAAAACTCACTTGATAAGCCATGTAGGGCATGATTGTATGTTCTTTTGGTTATATGCAATACACGACATTAGACGGGACACGACAAGATTGATAAATTATTAAACTAATGTCAAATTAAAACCTTAAAACATTCCACAATTATTTCACCCATCTACCTCACTCTCGTCCGTCCAGTCCCGTCCGTGTACCAAACATACCCTAAGTTCTCCTGCTGCTTTTGTGTTAAGTACATCGGTTATCTTTTGTATTCTCTATCTTGTGTTGTTTTTCCATCAACGTTTTAAAAGGCGGAATTGGGCCTCGAGGTGTTTTCCCTCAATGAGGCAAGGCGTAAGCCCCGAGGCGCAAATGTCTGTACACACACACACATATATGTATACAGACAAAGGTTGGATTCAGCGAGAAGGGAAGTTATGGTAAGAAGCGTAAGATGATATCTTCACCCTTGGATGAATCCTAGTTGAATGTCAACACTAATGAGGTGCACTGAGATACACCAGATCAACTCCCTTCTAAAGTTCATGGGTAGGCATGAGATTAAAAGTGATCAAGGGTTCATGTCTCTTCTTACGTTTCTCAGCATCACTTCCGTTCTCATATTATCCTTCGTCTGTACACACATTTATACATTATACACAATATACTGCAACCTTATACACAAAAATATATATGCAATATATATATACACACCGGAGTGCTAAGCACAAAATATATGTACATGTCTATATATATATATATATATGTATATATATATCAGACTAAAGGCGCAAGCTTCAGACGATTTTGAAAACCATGTTCCCATATGGTGAAAATGCATTTGACAAGCYGTGTAGGGTGTGATCGTATGTTCTTTTTCAGTTATATGCAACGGAAGTCTCGTTTCAAATTTTGTACGGGCATTTTGTTTCAGAAAATGCTCAATTTGGACCCCTGCAAAAGAATTACAGCAAGGGCTGCATTAGCGCATGAGTACTTCAAGGATATAGGATCAGTGCCATAATCCACCTCCAAGAAACACAACCTCGAAGCTCGTTATGCGAATATGCATCGTTTATAGGTGATGTTTTTTCTTCAAAACAACGTTTACGTCACATGAAATTGCTTTTCTGCAAAGTCAAATTCGAATTTGATTGTTTTTTTCTTTTTCCGAAAACATAATCTCAGTTCAAAATAGATAAGATTTGGTGCAAGTGTTGGACATATTAGTTGGTCATCTTTCCCTCTAATGGAATTCTTTTTGTGTGCCTCTTATACATGGATTTATCCCACGCGAAAGGTAGAGGGATTTGAACTCGGTCACTTAACGGGTCATTTAGGTAAATAACCTTAAATACAATTTTAATTAAATCCATGACCTCCCGACTTCATACTCATTAGAAGGTCACAAATTTAATTAAAATCTCATTTAAGGTTATATACCTAAAAACGAAGGATCGTGTGAGAATAGAAGGTAAGATGAGAAGTGAAGGGATCTGGACCGTTGATCACTTATAACCTCGGTGCATCTCATTACTGTTCATATTCAATTAGGATTTGAACCACACTAAAATTAGGGATTCCTTGGTATTCTCGTGGTATTCACAGGGTTTTCTTAAAATCCTTGACCTTCTGATAGGTTTGAGAATGCCATTTCCATACTAAGATTGCTTATAAACATGTTAGAAGGTCATGGGTTTAAAAAACACTTGTTAGAAGGTATAAATCAGGCCGAAATCTTTAACATCCTGATGCGGGCCTTGGTCAGGCCTAATTGTTATTGATGGGTGTCCCACATAAACAACCATATCTTTTGCTACGGGACTCCATTTTAGGCCCATAATATGTCAATTAGAAGCTTGGAACGGGGAGCACACCCTGTGTAGAACCCAAAGGGGCCTACGAGATTTTTGAGGCCTAAAAACGGTTGTTCGAACATGTTTCTGGACACTTTTATGTTTTTTCTTATGTTTTTTATTTTTCGTTTCGGCTTTTATGATAGGCCCATAGTCTTTTCCAGACCCATTTCGTTTTGATTGTTCCAGATATAATTTGGATGGTCATATGAATTCAAAAGCTTCCATTTCCTTCCCAAAATTTGAGTTCACAGTAAATTCAAATTTGAAGCCTAAAGTACGGTATTCATTGAATCAACGAACTTTAGAAGAGATTATCCCCTGAATTATAGAATCAACGAGTTTACTCTTTTTATTCATTATTATACGCTGCATCACATCTCTAAGGTCAACATACATCCTAACCTCCCCAACCCAATCGTGCGGGATTTATTGAGTTCATTTGGTTTGGTCAAGTAGTACAACAAAAACTACAATTCCCTTTCAGGAAGCAAGTTTTTGCAGGTAAAAAGCTAGCTTTATGATTCTTATTTTTGTTGCTGGTTACCTTATTGATTACAATAGGAAATATAATAAAAACAACGAATATAATGACAAAGTATCTGGTACATCCTACTCCTGGACCCTACCTCTGCATCAGATCTACTATAAGATCTACTGGTTTTTATATGCGTTCTTGAACGGCATCATGCGTCTGACCACGTAACTGTGGTTTCCCCAAATTCATCTTTCGGAACCTGAAGTGCCTTCCAAACGGCTTTAGATGCATCCACGATGTCATCACGACACCCCTTATTCGAGTCACATTCATCAACCACCATAGCTTGCACGCTTTTATCGTTATAATATATATTGATCAACTTAAAACACCGTTGCCCATGATTATACCACTCGCTGGACAACGCCACGATTAGAGTGTCATCCGAGTGGTCCTTTCCGTCACACTCCGACGGCTGACCACCATCCCCGCTCTTCTCGAAGCTGTTAATCGTCATAATCGAATTTGTATTGCCAACGACAAGCGGTGACCCTTTGGATGCGACGGAAAACTTGCCGTTTTTGCAACGGTCTGAATGGTTCAGACGTCGTAGAAGCGAGTTTTTGCCTGCCAACTTCTCATTGGGATTGCAGGATTGAGCTTCCGTGGATGATATGAACAAGGTAATAAGTATACAAAAGGGAATGGGAAAGATAATTGGAGATTGCTTCATTTTAGCTATATGGTCTTTTTGTATGCTTATAATGGCACCTGGTCTGAAAGAAACTGAATTAGGGGACGTTGGATATATAGTGATTGGGGTGGGGTTGTCATGTGGTTGTTACTCTGTGAATATCGTTGAGGAAATGCAGGCAAAAAGCCGAAGGTGAAGACGAAAACAGACGGCTGACCTCTCCGTCAAGCCACTGAAGTGATGGAAGTAAAAAAGCTGAAAAGGCGAAGACAAAAAACCAAAGGTCGATTTTTCTACTAATGAGATTGAATGTATTAGGGGCTATTTACCCAAATATCGACCCGGTAAGCGCTTACCAATAAGAGTCAACACTATAATTTATTTGATGCGTAAGATTTTAGTACATCAAAACACATCGAATGCAACAATTTACTGGGTAAACACTTACCTGGGTAAGAGTCGTCATCCTCACTTACCAGGTAAAACTCTCCATCATTCTCCCCTCTCTTACCCAGTAAGATTCTTGGCCCTTCTCATGTTCATCCAATAAGGAAATTTATGTGTTAAACACTTACCAAGTAAGTGTTCAGTAAACAACCCTTATTCTTTATATATAAAGTTTTTTTTTTAAAGTGTATTGAAATGATAAATTTATAGAATATTTCAATAAATATAAATAATATTTAAACCTATAAAATAAAGAATCTGTTGGAGTTGATTGTAAATTTTAGAGATTTTAACCTTTGTTCTTTATTTTAGAGAAATTATAAAGAATCAGTCAGAGAAATTTATTTTACTTTTCTTCTTTATTTAAAAAAAATTATTTTAACTTTTCTTCTTTATTTTAGAGAAATTTAGGATTTATAAAGAACGTGTAATCTTAACTTGCAACAAATGTTACAGATAATATAACAAATGCTCAAAATTCTTAATATTATACTCATTTATCTGAAAGCTGGTTTTCGGTTTCGGTTGATGTGATAATTTTTCACATAATCAAGAATCTATATATATCTATAAAGCAGAATCATGATATGCTGATGTGGCATCTCCTCGACGTAGAGATCATATTTTTCTCTTTTTTCCACATTTTGATTTTTTTCCTTAATAATTTTGCAAATTAATGTTCACATTTAACTCAAAAACCCTTTCCCTTCTCTTGGTACGTTTGAACTCTATTTATGTGTACATTTAACTCAAAACCCTTCCCCTTCTCTTGGTACGTTTCAACTCTATTTATGTGTTCTCCATCTCCATGTACGAGTTATAAACTACTGGTACATTCTTCGCTCTTCTTTTGCATCTCTCATCTTAAAAGCACTTTTCCTCTTTTTTCCACGTTTTGATTTTTTTTCCTTAGTAATTTTGCAAATTAATGTTCATATTTAACTCAAAAACCCTTCCCCTTCACTTGGTATGTTTCAACTCTAACATTTAAATCATTCAATCCTTGGTTTTTCTCTAAATCCCTCAATCTCTAGGTTTTTTTCATTTATGTGTTCTTCATCTCCATGTACGAGTTATAAACTACTGGTACGCTCTCTTCTCTTCTTTTCCATCTATCATCTATGGCAGAAGAGTATACACAAGTTTATCAATATATGTAAGAAGACATTGGAACATGGATTAAAGAGAAGTCTCCATTGAGGCTTTAGAATTTTGTGAGAATTTTGATTAGTTTTCCTTTCGTTGTGGATTCACTTATTTTTTTTATTATGTTTTCTTATAGTTTCTTAATTTATAATTTTGTAAGAAAAAAACACCAACAATAAGAAACATTTTTAGGCATCGCCAATACTAATTTTTAGATAAAACACAAACTTTGTTTTTTTTATTGATGTAATTATTATCAAAACATTAAATTAATTAGACTATTCATTTTCATTGGTTACACCCAATATTTGTTTTTTTGATTCGTTTATCTCATATTACCCTATTTGTTATTTACATAGCAATAATTGAACACACACACATACATATGTATGTATGTATTTAATTATATATAATCAAAATATCTATAAACTCATTTATATAAATGAAATTACGATCAATATATGTGTATTTTTATTTAATATAATATGTGTGTGT